GCACATAAAGCTCGCCGTTTTTTGGAGGGAGGAAATCATCTACTCCCGAGTAAGCAGACTAATAGGCTGGACAAAAATGACTAAATTTTTACATCTCTTTGAGGATCACAAAATGACGGAAGTCACTCTGTATTAAATCATATTGGGACTATACAATTAATAGAAGCCTATGTGTTTTAACAGATCTTTAAGTTCATTCAACGTCGAGCACGGGTGCTATTCTTTTTCGAGTCACCTCTGGGTTTTCACGTATACAACATGGTTTATTTGTGAAAAGAGGGACCAGTATTGCAACATTGCACGATTTATGTCCTGGAGGATTTCGCTAAATCTCAACTGTTATCTACTGCAGACAAATCCAATGTTTATATAGGGTCTCGGAATAGATTACAAAATAAACACTTGTAAATTACGGGGGAGGGGTAAGAGTCGCCAAGGTGATGTACCTTCATTATTCGTCTTAGAACAACAGAAGAAGAAGCGATTTTAACTGGACATGACTGTTTCTCACTCAAATTTATTGAAGGGAGAAACCGCATAAGATAATTGAATACAAGACCGTCACATGGCATGTCGATACAATATACAGAGTATCGAGGTTCAGGAGGCTAAAAACTGTAAGTGTGCGAATTCCATCAAATAACAGACATTCTCCATCTAGATCCTTAGTGTGTTTATCTATAAGTAACTGGATTTCCGGTGAAATTCTCTTCTTCACTTCATCGTTTCATATGTCAAAAAGTTGTTATCCGCACAAATCATTAGCAACACGCAGACTGTTTCACTCGAACGCGTACTTGCTTGCACAACCGCCTACCGGTCTTCTGTGATGCCTTATCTTGCACGAGTTTTGCTAATCCAGAACGCATCGCTTCGGAACGAAACTCACTCATAGTGTAAATTATGATTGACTTTTTCATTGCTTTGCACAAGTCTGGTGTCCTGTTCCTTGACTTGCAACAAAAGTGGAAATTTTTTGAGATTCGCGTATCTCGTTCGTCCATCGCAAATCTCAATTTCGATCAAATACTGCTCAGAAATGTGTCAGGCACAACCAGTCAGGCAGGGCGACCAGTTCACGCAAAGCAATTAAGGTAACAAAGTCAACTATCCTGCGGAGGGGAATGAAATAGGCGGAAGCGAGTTACGCGTTACTATTCTACGTGAACTAAGATATCGTCTAGTCTATTTTCAATCATTAACTTTTTGAATGAGATCTGAAAACATGGACGAGGGCTGAGCAAATACATTCTGGATATGCAGTACACAAATAGTACGAGGTACATATAATCGGACAAGGAAAGCGTGAACTGTAAACTGCTGAGAATACTATTGAGTGATTGTAACTCATACAGAACGAAATATCAACACAGCCGAGAGCATAGCTCACAAGTCATTTGAGGGGCGCTATACTCGGACTGCAGGGATGGAATTCAGCCGATGTGACTGGAGGACGATGATTTTCTAAGACTACAAATATGGTTTAAAGCAGCAGCAGTGTTGATCGTTTATGAGCTGCCTTTGGCGATGACACGCCGTCAAAAGGTATTGTGTTTGCGGAATCCAGGCGTGGCAGGCGGTTTCTAGATTGAGGCACGTTGTGGTCGGCCTGTGAAGGCCAGCACAGCGGACAACATGGCGGCTGTGTAAGCGATGGTGGAGGAGGACTAGCGGGTGACTATGACACACTTGGAGAAAGCCACCGGGATCAATCTGTCCTATCCTATATGAGGCGCTACGCCTCAGGAAGGTTTGCTCACGCCAGGTACCCCATCAGCTCAGTGAGGAACAGAACGCAGTTCGGGTGAACTGGTACCGCACCATGCTTGCCAGGTTTGATCGTGGACGTTCCAATGCAGTTTGGGAGATCATCAGAAGTGATGAGACCTGGACGTACAGTTTCGACCCAGAGACTAACCAACAATCGGGCCCGATAGACACTGGTTGGTGCCGCTTTAGAAATCCTGACGCGAGCGCAGTGTAGCAAAGCAGATAGTGGCTGTGTTCATAGCCAAAAACTGTCATGTGTCTACAGTACCGCTCGGAGAGCAAAAGACAGTCACCGGAGACTGGTACGCCATCCACTGTCTACCAAAAGTAGAGGAATCTGTTGCCAGGCGTCGTCCAAGGACTCGAGCACGAGAGAACTTGCTGAACCATCACAACGCACCTGCACAGGGGTACCATGTCGTCGGCCATTTCTTGGCTAGAGAACGCATTCAGGTGGTTGGTCACCCACCGTACAGTCCAGGCTTAGCTCCAATGATTATTTTGTGCTACCAAATGTCAAGTGCATGATGTGTGAAATCCTATACGAGTTACCAACAGCCGCAATGGAGGCCTGCATTAAGCTGTTCAAAGGGTTAGCCGCTTTGGGAATGGTTGAGCTGTTTCACCAAATGGTTAGAGTGCATGAACGCTGATAGAAAATAATTCTAGAGAATGCAATGCTTAAAGGAAATTACCTTGTCTTAGTCACGACGAATGGAAACCAAAACACAATGGCGTTGGTGTGTTGGTTTTCATTCGTCGTGGCTAAGGCAAGCTAATTTCATCAATAATTATGAGCACGACGCCCAAGTTTTTCAGTGAGATCCGTTCCATCCATGGATCTCGTGTGATTAATGTAATGCTTACTTTTTTGTAACAAATAAAACATTCTGGGTATCCGGAAACGTTTTGCTCAGCCATCGTACAACCGGATTTTGGGTAGAAAAGCGAGTAGTCACAAAATACCCGGGCGAACTGGAACTGGCATTTCATGAGCATCCGACCCCAACAAGTAGCGTTGGATAACCGTAAATTAGCTTTCACACAGGTTTTTTCTTATCAAGTTGTATACCAAGTGACTCATCAAACCATCAAATAACTTTACGCGATCAGCAACTCATTGATTGACACTTCCCAAAGACAACAGGTTGTATCATCATCAAGTGTTAGGAATGCACAATCTGTGCAATCCTTCACGGTCTAGAAACAGTGCAACTGTGAGATCTGTAATAAAAGTGAAATCAGCGTTTGATTTGAGTGTGGAGTGCGTGTCTGTTTGAATTGATTGCTGAGACAATGAATCATTTTCCCAGTAGGTTTGTTATTTGCTGATCTTGGAGATTTTATTAATGAAAGTCATTAAGGTAGTAGTAGCAGCAGCAGAGTAGTAAATTTAGAATAAATGATTGGATTGTTCGCTGTTATCTGTTACTGTTGATGGTCCTGTAGCTAAAATGTAAGGGATTGACTCCCGACCCGAATGTTCGCGGCTCGAGTCCTGACAGGAGAACAAAAATGCACGCACTGCTGACGAGTCCCCAAAACAGGTGTCCAGTGTTTCTTGTCAGTCACCACAAATCCTTCCAGCATTACGGTACTATTTAACAGATAGTTCATTACAAACAGCTGAACAATGAGCCACGTTCCGATGGAAGAGGTTGATCTAAACAAGATAGAACGATCCAACCACGTATAATCCCACAAAATTAGGGAAAGTATCCTACAAAGCACTCGGAATGAAAGTGTCCCTAAAAAGAGAATTTCTGGGTTCCGAAACTGAAGAATAAAATGATGCCGGGTTATTTCAACAAAGCTTTGCGATGAGGTTCTGGAACCGTTTGTTGAACATCAACTCAAAGCTTCATACTACATAATGCTTCGTGAAAATCTGGTGTTCTGTGAATTATCGCAAAAAAATATAATGATGCGCACAAATCTGATTCGTACTAGCAGGACATTTTACAATCCCGGGCACAAGTATTCGGAATGCTATACCAATCCGCACGCAGACGAGAACGAAGGACGCAAACGAGCGGAACCGGTATGAGTTCTATCCAACTAGTCATACACGTGGCGTAAAACTCCCAGCAAGTGCTAAAGGACAGAATAGCTGCCAATTCTTGAGATTAGCATCGGGAAATCGGAAGCGATCATCACGTGGTACAGATTGATAAAGACAGATGATTGGATACGCAATGTCGATGAATTTTGGCCACAAGATATTTAACTAAAATGTAGTGCATACAATATTTTTAGCGCGACCCAATGATTCTATGATTTTTCGTAGATTTTCAAACTTAGAATTATGAAATTTGGTGCATTTATGCACACTGACTCATCAAATACAAAGTTTTATTATGGGTAAATTACAAAGCTGATGCTTATCGAATCCCATAGGATCTATACACACTGGGTTCGGTTGGTAGTACAATGGAATAGCGAATTTTGACATTCACTCACGGGTACTGAATAGTTAGNATAGTTAGGTGGTTCAATGTTTCATCCAGCCGTGACTTAAATGAATCGATAGTTGGTGCACAAACAACTTGAGGTGGAAGAGAGTTCCAGGTTTTACAAACTCTGAGGCTGAAAGAATGACGCCTACAGTCTAGCCGGCTCGTTTGGATCAGAATTTTAAGCTGATGTCCTTGGAGGTGACCATTCCTGGATAGTGTTAGTAGAGTACTACACGGATGGCTAAGTTGTTGAAGTATTTGATAAACGAGGATCATGTCTCCCCGTATTCGACGGTATTCAGACGAATAGCCCAAGAATTTCCAGCCTTTCACCGTAGGTCTTACACTGTAACCCTTTGACCAT